TATTTTTTCCTGTGGTTTCCATGCGTTTCTCCCCCTCCCTGGCAGATCCTCAGCTCCCCATCACGTTTCCCCTGCTTTTCCCAGGGCCCCAGGCGGGATGTGAAGCTGGTGGGGGACGGATCCGGGTGGAAGGATCCCGACGCTCCCTCTTCCCTCGGCCAGAGACTGCAACCCCTCCCTGGCAGGGACAAAGGGATGGGGGGTGTGCCCCCAGTGGGACCCCCAGCACCGGGAAGCGACGGGCTGGAAGGCGTTGGACTGTCACGGGATGGTGGCAGTGGCTGAGGTGACGCCGTGGTGCTGACGGGACGCTGGAGAGGCTGGCTTTGGAATGGTGGATCCTGCTTGGACATGGCTGGAGATGGAGAGGTCCAGCTCCTGAATCCTCTGGCTCTTCTGGTTTGGAGCAGCACCCCTTCCCTCCCTCCACCCTGCCTTTCCCGAGGCTTCAGCTGGAGCATCCTGGATGCTGTGGGGGGCCCCCCCAGCCCTGATTTGCAACTCAAACCCTCACACTGTGAATATTTAAAGCCCCCCCCCCCGTGCCCGTGTGGGGCCGGGTTTGGGGGTGACCCTTGACACCGTCCCCATTCCCATCCTCCTGCCACTCCGTGTCCGAGCTGGCCTCGGCCTCGCCCTCCTTAGGGGCTGTTTTTAATAGAGCTGACGAGAGTCTTTATCCTGCACAAGTATTTTGGAGGGGCCCCTTTGCCCCTCGCGGGGTCCTTGCCACGAGCTGGACTCGCTGGGATCCCATTCCTGCGCTTTGGAGAAGGGAATGGGGCCGGGAAGGACGGGATCCACGTGGACCTGAGAGATGGAGCAGCCCCAGCCACGCCTCCGGGGGCCTTTAGGCTCAGCTGGATTTGGGAAGATGCACCAGCTCTGGAGACCCCCTAAAATCCAGCGGCTCCGTCCGGCCCTGGGTGAAGCATGTCCTGAGCTGCTCTGGGGGTTTGAAGTGTTATTTTTCTAGGAAGGATGAAAATATGGACAAACCAAACTGCTTTTAAGGAAAGCATCGCTATTAATTTGGGTTTTTTATATATATATGTGTATTTATGACTGTCAGAGAGAGGGGGTTCCTGTGTGAGGGACTGGTGTAAAGCAGGAGGAAAGCCCTAATGCAGCAGGAAGGCTGGGGCCAAACTCCTGCTGTGGTGTAAGTTTACACCATGGAGGAGCTGATCCTGGGGGGGAAAACTTGCCTTTACCCCTGTTGGATTGAATTTGCCTTTTTTTTTGTTTGTTTGGGTTTTTTGTTGGTTTGTGGGTTTTTTTGTTGTTTGTTTTTTTTTTTTATACAATGAAATGTTGAAATATTTTATACAAAGGCATTTAAAAATCTATTTAAAGAAAATAATGGAAAACAACTTGTATATTTAATATTATTAATAAACAGAGAGGTGTAGCTTGGTGTAAGTGACGGGAGGCTGGAGCCTGTGACCCCCCCGTGCCAGCCCTGGGGTCCCTGAGGGGCAAAGTCCTGGCTTGTGTCACCCTGCCCCGATTCCCTGTGGATGCACGTGGGAGTTCATGGCCACTGGAATGAGAGCAGAGGGATGGGATGGATCCATCCTTCCTGCCCCCGGCACTGGGAGCTCCAGGCGCCGGATCCGCCGCTGAGGCCCCCCCCAAATCTGCGTGAAGCAGCTGCTTAAAGCAAACACACTTGAGGCAGAGCTTCCTGGAGCCACTTTGCTTGGAGAGACAGCGCTGGAAGAGGCATTTCCTTCCTCTCCCTCAGCCCCCTTGGCTCCATTTCCCTCTTTCCAGGAGCGGGGGAGCCCCATGTCCCACTCCCCCTGCAGGGATCCAGCATTTCTGGGGGGATACTGGGGGGCTTCCACACCATCCTGAGCCCCTCCCAGCTGCTGGGGGTGCAGGGTGACCCTCCCACTGCTCATCCCGGCGGTTGGGAAGGGCAGGATGGGATCCAGGAGCGTTTGTGGCCGGTCGTTTGCTGACAAACAGGATTCCTCGAGAGGAGCTGAGTCAGCCCAGCTCTTCCTCTCCTCAGCAGCAGCCGGGGGTTTCCCAGGTCCACATCCCCTTCCCAGGGAAGTGGGACCTATAAATATCCTATAAATATCCCGCTGGAGCCGGGCCACAATCCTTATGGTCGGATTTGGGGGGTATTTGAGGTCGGAGGCTGCTCTTAGGGATGGGCAGAGTGCCCAGATTTGGGGGTGCTGGGGGCAAAGAGCCCCTTCCCTGCTCCTGGATGCTCCAGGCAGCCCCAGGTGGATGCTGGCTGCCCAGGAGAGGGTGTTCACTCTGGAGCTGAATGATGGCAGCTTAAAGCTTTGGGAGAGCTCAGGATTTACACCCCAAAATCCCTCAGCCCCAGCTTTTTCTGGCTGCTCCGAGCAGCCCAAACCTGTAGAAGCACGTGGAAAATGCAGGAAAAAAGTGAAAGCCTTTCTCCTCATCCCGAGGTTCAGGCCGGGAGGGTCCTTCTGCTTCTCATGTCCCCAGCTCGTGGCCTTTCCCCCACCCTACCACCGACCCGAGTGGGAGCAGAGAGGAGATTCTGTGCCCTGAGCAGCTCCCCAGCCCCAGGCCCCTGCAATTTGGGAGGGCAAAACCTTCTCTAACCCCCCACGTTGGGGATCCCACAGCTGGGGGGGACATGGAGTTGTATCCCTGTCCCTCCACGCTTGTAGGGGAGGGGGGAAAAGAACCCCCCTCCCCAGTGTTGAATGACACAGGGGGTGGTGGCACCCTGGGGGTCCCAAGTGTTTGTGCCTTAAAAAGCTGCTTTGATGGGGTGAGAAAACAGGATTTGGGGGGAAAGGTGGATGTTGGGAGGGAAAGGCATCAGCAAGTGGCTCCCGGGACCTGGAGCAAGGGCTGGCACAGGATGGGACAGGGCGGGACAGATTGGGGTCACCCCACCCCACCACCCACCCCGGGGGTCCTGGGGGTCCCCAACATCCCTGGTGGTTGTGGCATTGGCAGGGCTGGGACCTCCCAGCTCATCCGCTGCCCCCAACCCCCCAAGCACCCTGAGACCACCCCAAGAGCCCCCCAAGTGCCTCGAGACCCCCCCAAGTGCCCGGAGCGGGCTCTGCCCGCCCTGGGAACCCTCCCCGGCGTGGCCACGGGCACCGCAGAGCTGCTGACGGGGCAGAAGTGCCGGAAAGGCCCCGAGGCCGCGGCTCCGGGGGCACGGCGGGGCCGGGACAGGGGTTTGGCCCGGGAGCTGCTGCAGGATTTTGGTGGCCAGAGACCGTTTTGTGGCCAGACAGAGCGATTTTGGTTAAAAGCCCTTATCTGTACTTCCCCCTGGGGTTTTAACCCGAGCGCTGATGTTTGCCCAGGCTGTACTTTCAGGGAATGCCCTCGGGAAAGCAGGGCTCGGACCCCCCCGTTGTCTGTGGGGTCGGGGTCAGGGTGCCCCGGGGGCAGGGGGGGCCTGTCCTGGGACAGGGGCACGGGCCGGGCCCCAGAGCCCCTTTGGGGACCCAGAGCCGGGCACCGCTGCCCGCGGGGCAGGATGGGGCCCCTCGGTGCCCCCGGGGACGGGCCGAGGGCGTCCCTTCCCCCTGGAATAAAGGGGCCGGTGGAGACCCCCCCGCAGGGAGACCCCCGCGGAGGAGGAGGAGGAGGAGGAGGAGGGAGGAAGGTGGCCCTGCCCGGGCCAAGCACCTGCAGAGGGGGCTCAGCACCCCCGGCCCGGGATTTAACTAAGAATCGAATTGAAGCAATGAATCTGATTTATTTAATTAAAATATTTGTATCCAAACATATATAATGTGTGCGCAATGTACGTGTAATGACATAACGTTTATGTAATTAATCTATTAAATTAATAAAATTAAATTATTTAATAAAATATTATTTAATAAAATATTATTTAATAAAGACTATGCAATAAAATTAAATAATAAAATTAATTAATATTACTAGTATATATATTTAGATCTAATTTATGTAAAATTATATAATTAATTTATATAATTATTATATTTGATATACAACTTATAAACATGTGTAACTATTTATTTTAATTTACACAATTACTATATATTATTATATATATAACAATTATATAATTTACTCAATTATATGCAATTAATCTTTAATTAATAAAATTTATTTATTTTATGAATCAACATATACCTACATATTTAATTTATATATTTATGTTTAATTTAATTCATGTAATAATTTATTTAAAGTGTCATTTAATTCATATATTAAAAATTATATATTAATAAATGATAATTAATATGTAATTTCTTTTAAATTTATATTATCATTTTATTTGATTTATATAATTTAATAACGATATGTATGTTATGCATATAATTATATTATACATAACTATATTATACATTATATATAGCACATAATTACATTACTTCTATTATATACTCTATACAGCATATATATACCAATATGTAATATATATTATATATTATTAAATCTAATATATATATGATTTTATATATAATATATATTTTGTATTGCATATATAATATATGTATTATATAATGTATAACATAGTATATAATATATTAATTATATATAATAATATACTTATATTATATATAATATGACAAATATATAAAAATACAATAATATAATATATGTTTTATAAATATATGTTACATATATAAATGTATATATAAAGTTTAATTGTATAATATATATAAATTTAATTCATATAAGAATTTCATTTAATTGGGATTCGGCCCCCGATTGTTTTCCTGATCACGCCCATCACTTGACCACGCCCTCAGCTCTGACCACGCCCTACTTCTGACCATGCTCCGACCTCTGACCACGCCCCACCTTTGGCCACGCCCCCACCTTTGGCCACGCCCCCACCTCTGACCGCAGCCCCGTCCCCTCCGCTCCCTCTCGTCCCCGCTCCGCCAGGGGGCGCCACGCCCCCCGCCCGCTCCTCCCTCTGGCGTCGCGCGGCCTCACCTGCCCGGCGGGTGCGCGGTGACGTCAGCGCGCGGTGACGTCAGGCGGCTCCGCCCCCGGCGCGGCGGCCGCAGTCCCGCCGCAGCCCCCGGAGCGGAGGGACCGTGAGGGACCTGAGGGGCCGTGAGGAGCCTGGCGGGACCCGAGGGACCGTGAGGGGACGTGAGGGGCCTGAGGGGAACCGAGGGACCGTGAGAGGCCTGAGGGGAACCGAGGGACCTGAGAGGACCTGAGGGACCGCGAGGGACCCGAGGGACTCGCCGGCACACACCGCCCGCAGCCCGCCCCCGCGCTCCCACGGCCCCGCCGCAGCACCATGTCGGTGCCGGAGCCCGCCGGCGGCGAGGAGAAGCAGGCCAAGGAGGTGGAGGACGCCGAGAAGTATTCCTTCATGGCCACCGTCACCAAGGCGCCCAAGAAGGTAGCGGGGGCGGGGGGGACGGACAGAGGAAGGGGGGAGACTCCGGGTGGGGGGAGCAGCCCCCGGTTATGGGGTGGGAACAGGCCCCGTTTTGGGGAGAGCGGACCCCCGGTGATCGGGGAGAAGCCCCTGGTTCGGGGGGAGCAGCCCCCGGTGGTGGGAGGGCAGGGGAGGGGGGAGCAGGCCCTGCTTGGCGCGGGGGGTCCTGACCCGGCTCTGGAGGAGCAGCCCCGGGTGGGGGGTTGTGCCGGGGAAGCCAGAAATGGTCCAGTCTGGGGATAACTGGGAAGGGCAGGCCGTGGCCATTCAGTGGAGAGGATGGGGACTGGTACCGGTGAGGGGGGCAGGGGTACCAGTGAGGGGGGCTGGCCCGGTGTGGGGGCAGCAGGAATGAGCTGGGGCAGAGGTGCCCAGCAGGGCTGCTGGCCCGGCTTGGGGTGGGAGGGGAGGGGTTGGGTACTGGGGAGAGAGGGGTCTGTGCCAGGGGTGAGGGGAGGGATGGTTTGTGGGGGCTGCAGGCGGACTGGGTCCGGCTCTGGGGGGCACAGGGGAGGCTCGGCTGTGCCACGGGGGTGTGTGGGGACAGGGTGACCACGGGAAGAGTCGAGGGTCCCTGTGGGGTGACAGGGACAGAGCAGGGGAGCCATTAAATGGGACGAGCCAGCAGCGCCCTGGGATCTGGCTGTGGGTCACTGGGAAGGGCAGCCCGGGGAATTCGGGGGCTTGGACTTATTTTGGGACAGGAGGTGTGTTGGGGGTGTAGGTGGGAGCACGTTTGGGCTTGGGAAGAGGCTGCTGGTGCTGAGCTCTCCTGAGTCACCTCTGAACCCTTCCATCCTTGAAGGCCTCGCAGGAGCTCTGGGATCTTCAGCCCGTTCCTCCCCAAACCTCCCCAGTCCCGGTGCTGCTCCTATGGCATGCATGGGTGGCACTGAGGGTGGGCAGGACACCCACTAACCCGGGTAACTCCCTCTTAGGAGGGTGAGCACTCCCAGCCCTGTGCTCCGGGCTCGGTGCTGAATTCCCGGTGTTCTGGGGGGCAGCTCCGTGTTGGGATCAGTGTTGGGATCCGTGTTGGGGTCCGTGTTGGGGTCCGTGTTGGGCTCCACGCTGGGCTCCATGCTGGGCTCCACGCTGGGATCCACGCTGGGATCCACGTTGGGATCCACGCTGGGATCCACGCTGGGATCCACGCTGGGATCCACGCTGGGATCCACGTTGGGATCCACGTTGGGATCCACGCTGGGATCCACGCTGGGATCCACGTTGGGATCCGCGCAGCCGCAGGTCCCCGCCGTGCTGAACATCGTGTTCCCCTTGGGGCTGCAACAGCCTGCCAGTGGTGGAAGAGAAGGCAGGGCAGTGGCAGGGAATGGGAACATCCTCGTTCTCTGGGGGAGTCTCTCCTGCCTGCTCCAGGTGGGATCAGGGAGCTCTGACCCTTGGGGAAGGTCAACTGGGTTGGAGGCACCTCCTCACCCAGGGAGTTGGAGACTCCTGTTTATCTGGGCTGTGGACATAGCCTGGAGGAAGGAGCAGAGGAATGTGGAGCTGGGATCTGTCTCTTCCAGCTCAGAGATTGTTTTTACCTTTTCATAACCATCATCTTTGTCAGAGTGAGGGGACAGCAAACTGCTCATCCCAGAGTATCCATGGGGCCAAAAGAGGTGAAAAGGAATCGATCCAGCATCCTCAGAGGCAAAGTCTGTGTGTCTCAGGGGTGTCTCAGGGGTGGGAGGTGTTGTATCCCCCCAGATTGGCAGCTGGTTGTTCAGGGTGAGGAGCTTTTCCTGGCCGGGTGAGGATGTTGGAGGTGCCCAGAGCGACACCCGACATTTGAGCTGATAACATCAGCAGGCAGAGAGGGCTGAGCTTGGCCACAAATCGCTCGGGGCCACTGTTTTCCTTGCCTGGCTAATTCCTGCAAAGAGCAGAGCTGGGGAACAGCAGAGGCGTTGGCAGGAGGATGAAAGGCCGGGGCAGGAGAATTGCCCTCCTGAGATAAGCTGAGTGCCCCCAGCTCTGCTCCTGGAACAGCAGCGCAATTAAACCATTAAAGCTCCTTTCTGATTCCACCAAAAGTGACTTTTGTGCTGCCCCGAGCTCCCGGCGTGGTCAGAGGCTGGTGGAGATGGTGGGGAGAGACGATTCCCAGCACGGGGATCACTCTGTGCTGCTGGAGCAGCTCCCGCCCGGCTGTTTGGGCTCCCTGAGCTTTGCCAGTGTGCTCTGCGGGAGGTGTTTGGACACGGGGAGGGTGGGAATGTGGCCAAGCTTGGGGCAGGCTCCCTCTCTCCCTGTGAATGGCTTTTCAGAGGAGCTTTAACTTGTGCTGGAGCTCAGGGGAAGTGCCAGTTTGGGCACTGAGAGCTGGGGAGGCATCTTGGATGCAGCTGGAAGCAGTGGGTGCTGTGGAGAAGTCAGTGTCTCCTTGTTGGGGCACCTGGAGCTGGGATCCAGCCCCAGGGACCGCTGACATTTCCCCTCGTCAGGGACTCGTTTGAGGTGAAAAAGTGAAACGACAGGAGGTAAGAGATCAAATGTGATGTCTCCAGGTTGAAGCAGGAGCCAGCGCAGTGCAGGGGAAGGGAGGGATGGGGTGGATTTCCCCCAAAAGCTGGGATTGCCTGGCTCTGCCAGAGCTCCCTTTCCCCTGCAGTTCCTGGGAATTGGGCTGTCACAGTTTGCTGTGAGTGAGGTGGTTCTTTGGTGGTCTGCAGGCAGAGGGGAGCGATGCTGAGCTTCCCACCTTGTCCAGCCTTGGTGTTGCTGGGGAAGGCTGGGAATGCTGAGGCTGGGGGCTGGCTGGGGCTCGGGGAGCTCAAGGGCAGCCCTGCTCCTCCCCATCCCCCTGTGCCATCCCTGCTGCGGCTGGGCATCTGCTCCTCTGCCTCCCTGGAGACTGCAGGTGCCCTTGGCAGCACTTGCTTTCCCAATCCGTGCCAGTGGAGCCTTAAATGCCTGGCCAAGGTGAGCTGTGGGTGCCCTGGGGTGGGAAGGACATGGCTGTGGCAGGGCAGGGGGCACTTGGTGCTGTCCCTGTCACCTCCCCCTGCTGTGTCCTCTTCCCGGTGGGATCATCCCTGGGCTCCCCCACCCTGGGGAATCCTGCAGCATTCCTTGGCTGTGGAACAGGCTCTGGTGTGGCTCTGGGCAGGTGAGTGGGGTGGTCTCCGTGCCCGGGGGATTTGGGGGTGCGCTGTCCCTGCGGATGCCGGCGCTGCTCCAGCTCCAGAGGGATCCCCCCGGAGCTGTGGCAGGGAATGCTAATGCTCGGTGCTGCAGCTCTGCGGTGCCAGCCGGGCACTGCCTGCGTGGGGGTGGCTGGGATGGAGCAGGGAAAGGCTGGGCAGAGGAGATGGAGCCCCTGGGCAGGGCTGGGTGTCCTCTCTGGAGCCTCCTTCCCAGAAGCGCTGACTTCACTGCGTCCCAGCCCCTTCCAAAGACCTGTTTCTGCCCCATTTTGCTCCGTCCCGACTCATCTCAGGTCCTGCGGCTCTGCCAGGCCGGGGGATAATAAACCACCTTCCCCCTGGGCCTGTCAGGGGGACGGGACTGTCCTTGTTTGTCCTGACAGAGCTCCCAGAGCCACTCGTTTTTCCGCTCCCTTTAATTCCATTCCTTAGTCCAGGTGTCCATAAATCCTTTGTGCCTTTGTGAGCCTGTCTGGGGTCGTGGCCACCACCTCCTGTCCTGGCTGCTCCACAGGCTCCACACACCCAGCTCTCCTTGATCCCTGCCCACATCCTCACTTCTTTGGCTCTTTTGCTCCGTCACTGCAGTTTTTCCTTCTCAGGATGAGGTGCTGGGGTTGGGATGAGTTGGACAGCTCATCCTCCTTCGTCTGGATAACCTGGGATGGGTCTGGCCTTCCCTGGGGTGCAGGAAAACCCTAAAGAATGAACCTGTTGCTGTGTTAGAAGGTGCCAGGGTTGTACCCTGACCCAGAGCAGAGCACGGGGGTGTTTGGAGTGGAGGGGATTTCCTGGGGCTGGGAGCAGCCAGTTCCCCCCAGGGCTGTGGGACACGGCAGAACACTCTGTTTTTCTCCTCCAAGTTGTTCTTGGGTCCTTCCTATGGCTTTGGTGTTTTGGGGGTCTCCTGGCTGTCCAGAGGGGAGGCTTGTCCCAGTGACCAGCACTGCTGCAAGGCCAGAAGGTGCTTCACTGAGCTGTTGAGAGCAGGACACAAGGAGATTTTGGGGGTCTGATGGGCACAAACCATCTTCAAAATGTTCCAGGGCCTGTAGATTCCTGAATCCCTGAGGGAGGCTGGGTTCCCACTCCATGTCTGCCCTTTGGAGAAGGGACAGCAGCTGGATATTTGTCCTCCCCAGCCTTGTCACCTTTGGATGGTGTGGGTGTGGAGACCACCCATCCTGGGAGGCCCCTTCCCACGGGAACAGCGAGGTCTGGAGCATGGGAATCACGCTGCTGGCAGGAGCCTGGTGTTTTCCTTACCCTGGCATTTTGGGAAAGGTCTGTCTGTGCTGGGGACCAGCCCTCCACAACAATTTCTTTGGGACCTGAAGAGTTTCCAGCCCGTGCAAATTTTGGAGTGAGTTGCTGTGCTCCGTTTTAGAGGTTGAAACTGGATTGTTTGCTCTGGAAAACAGGTTCTCAAGGTCAGTTTGGAGTTGCTCCTTTGCAGGTGAGGATTGTGTCCACGTTGCTCCTCTGAGGGGTCGGTGGGTGCCTCATCCCAGCTGCTGGAGCAGGGAAGGGCTGGGATTTCAGCACTCACACGCGGGGATTCGCCGTGGTTTGGTCGCCTTTGCAAAGGGCTCCTTGTGTTTCCTGCTGAGCCCTTTGATCAGAGCTGCTTATCTGGAGCCTCTGGCTCACCTTCACCCGGCACGTGGTGGTGACATTCCAGGTGAATGTCCCACGACCTGCTGGTGGCCTCAGGGACCTGCCGTGGAGGAGCCTGTGCCAAAACTTCTCCCTCAGTGGAGCCATGGGGTGGATCAAGGAGGGTCTGGGAGGAGGGTCAGGGAGTGC